CACCATGACACCCTAGAGAACAGTAAGGAGATTAACCATGATATAATTTATAACATAAGATGTACGTTGACACCCTAGAGAACAGTGAGGAAGTTAAAGGGATAATAACTCTTCGTATGATATCTTTATTTTACAATAAAAACATTGTGAACAACTCATAGAAATATAATATATTCTGTTGTACCACAAAAACAGCAGTTAAAGCTATTATTCTGATATCTGAGCTTGTCTTCAGATCACTTGACTTCCATTGATGGCTGTACTCTGTTAAAATCTCTTAAGAGATTTTAACAAAAAACCAAACTTTTTAGAAAAAAACCAGGGACTAACTTTGAATGTAAAAATGGATTCATTAAGCATTGGTAAGTATGGGAAAATTGTTGTTTACTCCAGGAAAATTCATTTTTTTGGACAAAACGAAGAGTTATTATCCCTTTAAGCATGAAAATGTGCCTTACACCAGATTAAAAAAAAAAACAAATGGAAATCGCCATTAATCTCTGTGAAATACCAAGATGTTTGGGATAAAACATGAAAATTATTCTAAAACCAGATATGCCAAAGACCATCAGGAAAAGTGTCAAGTCCCTTTGAAAAACAATTAAGATGTGGAAATAAAGACATAAAAAGTTAACTTAAAAAAATCACAACCAAGATGTGAGCACAAAAGATAGACATCAATTTATTTTTCACCAAAACAGAAACATGATCAACATACTACATAGACAATTAAACTTTCTCAGTAATGCAATTGTGATAAAACTCAAAATTAACACTGCATACATCTACAAATACTGCTAAAAATACCTTATTTCAACTAATCAAATGTCAAATAAATACTCACTGCAAAGTAGATGCTGGTGACACCGTACATGATAATAAAGATGTTGGCATCAGTGAGACGGGAGAAGCAGAAGTATAATCCAGCTGAAATGATGAAAAAATGATGTCTGTTAGTACAATGTCTATCAAAACTGTGCCACACTTTTTTCATAGACAAGTTGGTCTCAATTGAGCTTACAAAATGTTATATTATAGAAATTATATTTCAATACATGAAATTTATCCCCATCATTATGTGAGGGGCTCAAAAATTAATTAAATTCAAATTAGGTTGAAACTGAATTATGAATCACATTTCTGGAAACAATTCTTAACATGTTGCAAAGAAAGTGAGAAAATGTCCTGGAAAATGAATTAAATTGTTCATCAGCCTACTTAGAATGGAATTTATTTTCTCTCACCTGGGAACATAAACACCAGCATCTGCAGGTCAAAATAAAAAGAGCTCCACGTGGTCGGCTGATGCTCAGAGACAGAGGCAATAATTGGAATGTTATTCTTGGCATACGAGGGGTCCAAGAGGGAGTAAAAACGTCCCGTCCAGGGCGAGATCTTCCCGGTGGCAGTCAGAACAGCGCCAACTCCAGTCGCTACGGTGCCAAAGAGGAGAACGGCGCTCTTGAAGAGGATGTTGAATTGCTCTCGGCTGAGCTTGGAGCGCACGTAGTCGATGAAGGCGTGAATCTGGCACAGGCCAAACACTCCAAAGGCCTGAAGAAAAAAAAAATAATAATAATAATTCATTAACAAAGCTAAGGAAACAATATTTTAACAATATTTATCAGGATTTTGCTTTGGAACAAAGTTAACTTGATGAAATTGCCTTTACTGAATTTTATTCTATCCATGATTTCAATTAAATAATTAATAACCAAAAATATAAATTTGAATGTAATGCTTTGTATTAATACTTCTTTACTGCATTTGAAAATAATTAACAATCAATATTTACATGTTACTACCTACCACTCTAACAAAACTTACATTTCACAAGCATGAACTGAGACAATATTGCAAATGTCTAGGGCTTTTTCACAAGACAATGATTGTTCCTTTTTTTTTCTTTTTTGCCAACACTGGAGCTCAATACAAATTTCTAAGTCTTAAAGAATGAATATTCATAAGTCAATCTAAATATTCATAAGGTCCACTCACTGCCATGTGTTCACTGGACTGTACAGGTTGGAAACCAACAAAAGAGATCTGCATGGACAAGATGGTCCCCAAGCAATAGACCTGAAATGTAAAAAGTTATACTAAATATAACATTATCTACCTTAAATATAAAATATTCAAATATTTTTGTAAATCACAAAAAAAAAAAAAAAAAAAAAAAAAAAAAAAAAAAAAAAAAAAGATTGCTAGTAACTGAGGATATTGCTCCTGTTTTATAAATAATAGTAAGTACGTAAACTTGGGAATAACTGAATTTTAGGTAAAAGTGATATTTACTTTCTTTTATTGGTCTGGACAACTGGAAATTTATGCTGGCTTGAAGCAGACATAAATTGTGGTGTATAATATTTTAAGACCATGGACCCAAGTTCTTTTACAGCAGAAGTAGGCCCAGGATTTTTAATGACCAACCACAAAGAAAACTCTTATATTATTAAAGAAGCTTTGCAATTGTTTTATCAAATTTCATACTCTGCTTTGTCTAATATCATATGGCTTTAAAACAAATAGATTTGTCCTACTGTAACAGTAAGGTGTAATACTTACTGAGGAGTAGGCCACATATACTCTGTGTGAGAACCTGCCAGTGGCCATCAAAGCCAACACATGAAGAGGGATCAAGTTGATCAAGAATACATAGCCTCCCCATGAGGAAACCTAGGGGAAAATACATATATCAATAAATAAATATATTCTAGAAATATGTTTTTTATAAATCTATGAGATTGACAAAGTAGCACAACAATTAAGCAGTCAGACTAAATAAACTTTCCTGTAAGCTGTTATTACAAATGGCAGAGGTGCTGTGCCTTTTTGGAATGTTGCAATAAAAGAAAAACATATTTAGACCAGTTTTTATGCTAAAAGAATCTGAAAAATGGCCTCAAACTTACATCCATCTACAATTAAATTTTTCTTTTTTTGTTAAAAACATCTCACCCACCATGTAAAAGTAGGCCAGGGCACAGAGAGCTGACCAGAAGACAGAGCCAGTTTTCACGGATTTGATCCACAGCAGATAGGTCAACAGCATACAGAAGATAGCGATACCCTCGTTATCGTAGGAGCCGGCGACAGAACGTGAAATGTAGCCTGGGACTATGGAGATCATGGCTGCTGCTACAAGACCTGCACCTGCATCCTGCAAGATAAGTATATAATCCAGAATGTACATTATTTTCATAATGTATAGAGAGCATGTATAGAAGTATAAAATGAAGTGACTTAAATGATTATTTAAATTGCTCAGATCTAGTGTAATTTTATGTTCTCTTTTGCTTATTTTCATCAGCCTGCCAATCACCTAAAAAAAGAATTAGAATACATAATTCTTGATATTTCAATGAAGCAGTGATCATGGGCAATAAAAAGAACAAAGAAAGAAAGAAAGAAAGAAAAAGAAAGAACTAACTTACTAACTAACAAACTAACTAACTAAATAAATAAAACAAAATAAACAAAACAAATAAATAAATAAATAAATGAACGAATAAATGAATATCTGACCTTGAGCTCCTTGGTCAGTTGGTAGGTGACCAGTGTGGTAAAACTGGAGAACAATGGTGCCAGGAACACACAGATCTCACGGATGTGGATGGTGAAGTTGAAGAAACGCAGGAAATGATAAATTGCTGCAGATGTCACCATCAATCCTGAAATATGAATAAAATAAATTTGTAATAAATGTTCAATGAAATAGAAGTACCACAGCTGATCCAGGTCTTTACGAAGGGGGAAGGTTATAAATATAAATATATTGCCTTTTTTCTCTAGGCAAATATAAAATAGTAGAAAATGCAAACAGACCCAAGACACTTGTCATTAATACAATTTACCTGTTAAATCCTTCCAACAATAATTCTTCCCACACCAATCACAATTAGTTCAAAGGGCTTAGTTAAACAAACGGGGATAAAAACAGGAAAAAGAATCTATAAATTCTTGTGAAACGCAACTATGTTGGCTATAATTTAATACTGCTAAATGCAAAACTGAGTTAAATATCAAGAAACAGGGGTGTGGCCACAATGCTGTTTACCTGGGTAAATAGTTCCACCAATAATTCTCCCCAGTGGATACCAGGCTCGGTCATCAAACCAGTTGTGGAAGGAGTAGAACCCTTCCTCCGTCAGATACCGTGTGGTGCGGTAGTTGAAGTAGGGATCAAATTCGTGAATGACGCTCTCAAATCGTAGCACAGAGAAGAGGCGAGTAGAGAATGCTGCAAAATAAAATAATAGGTTGAAGTTTCATCATGAAAAAAAAAAAAGGCATGGATTATATTACAGGCCAAAGACATTATCAAAATTTTATTTCTGTTACTCATTACTCAATCATTTATCTTTACTATTTTATTTATTTCTTACTATTTTTGCAGAAAGCCTCAGACATCTCTTACAATTGTTTCTACTAGTAGCATTATTTCATGAATCTTTTTTTACTTTATGAATTCAGATAATGATATATATATTAAAATTTTATTGGATTAAAAAAAATAATAATAACAGAGGGGGATAACATACATAACACACATCCCAGGGTCAGGACCATTATCTTTAACAGTGTATCCTGTTTCTCCGGCGACATACGCATTAGCCATAGTGGGGCGTTGGACTTCATGCTGAACAGTTCTATAACCTGAAAATATAAAAGACAACACTCTGGATCATTCAAGCATGCTCCTTCTAAATGAACATGAAAAAAATTTTTTTTCACCCCCTTTCCCCTCTTTCCTCATATTCCAAACAATTTTAACACCAGTTTATTTAAGTTTGATTCCGCTAGAATGCTTGAATATGTTCTACTTTAATTTATTTTGATGCATTACTTTGAGTCCAGACCGATGCTTTTTTATTTAAAAATTCATTGCTTTAATGTCTAACTTACTAATGACTTCTAAGCACTAACTACTCTAGCAATTCACCGGCGTACGTGGCCATGTACAGTAATCTGCAGTGGCCGAACCCGCAGCCCTAAAGCCGATGGCCATTTTTGCAAAAATCAAGGTATAAATTTTAATCATATTTAAATGAAAAGCTGTGTCNACCAGTTTCTAAATTTGGCAGAGATATACTGCATATAAATATCCTATTTGTATGAATTCTGGGTATGAATATTTTTGTATGTGTGTCTTGATCTAAAATTCAGTTTCTATATTGCATGCATTTTTGAGTTGATTGTAGAACATGGACTTAAAGAACTCTTAATCAATATTATAATTATTATTGTTATTAATAATTATTATTATTATTATAATCTTAAAATTTTAAAATTTTTATTGCTATTATTGTGTTTATCTTACACTTTTTTATTTTCAATATTAGATCTTAAGTAGCGGAGCAGATGTGAACCTCCCTCTGGAGCAAATCCCAAAGTCGAGCACGTTCTTCAACGCCAAGGCTGCCGCCTGGTGTAATCTTGGCACCACTCCCCTGCACGTAGCTGGATTTAACGGTCATTCCCACATCGTCCAACTCTTGCTCAACAACAGTGCCAAAGTAAACCAGTCAGACGCTGAAGAACGAATTCCACTGCACCTAGCTGCATATAACGGAGACACAGACACTTCAAGCCTATTGGTCAAAAACGGGAGCGAGGTTAATACAAAAGATAAGGCGAAACGACTTCCGCTCCATTACTCTGCATACAAGGGCAACAGAGATGTCACAAAGGCGTTACTGGAGTCCGGGTCCAATGTCAACCTGAAAGACCAAGATGGCTGCTCATCCCTCGTCATGGCAACCAAAGGTCAGCATCCTGAGGTGATGGAGGTCCTGATGCAACATGGCGCAGCTATTACGATGGCGGATTATGTTGGTTGGACTTCCTTGCATTGGGCAGCCTTCCATGGTGAGTTGAGGCATATGTTTCACTTGCATATGTATCAATATTATATATTATATACATAATCAATAGGATTGTTCATGGTTCATTTACTGATGTTTCAGTGCTAGTTGTCACTTTCTTTGGAACAAAAATAACAATAAAACCGCCATGTGTATGTTTCGCTCTTGTCACAAGAGCATGATCAGGTGAAATGCTTACAGGTCATTATGGTGAGCAAACTACTGTTTCTGTAAATGTGTTTTCTACCTATGAGGCATGATGTTAATTTTGACCCTTCACCAAAGGAACTTGGTTACGTGACCAATTCCTTGATGTTAGTATTGCTAGAACAAAAGTACATATATTGAAGCTGATTTGTTGATTAAATATCATGAATTGACAGCTTTTTACATCGGATACTCTTATGCTCCAAATACACACATTTTCATGTATAACTTGTGTTAACTTTTCTTAATTCACAGGCAACATTAGCGCAATGAAACTCCTCACAGCTCACAAGGTAACCTTGAACAACCGAGACCACGACGGTCGATCACCACTAATTTTAGCTGCAAGAAATCACCACCAGGGGGCAGTAGAGCTGCTGGTTGGTGCTGGGGCGGATATCCAGTGTCGCGATCACCATGGAAACACTGCCTTAATGATGGCCAGTCAACAGAAGGGTTTGGAAATGGCGCAGTGCTTGGTGGCAGCAGGTGTCAATATGGCCATCTGCAACAACCAGGGAGATAATTGCCTTCATTTGGCAATTCAGGGTGCCAACGAGGCAATGGTCCAGTTGTTTCTAAGTCAAAATCCCGATATTGTCAATATCTGTGATGGCAAAGGACAGTGTCCTCTACATTTGGTGGCAGCAGAGGGATTAGAAAAACTTATGGTTTTGCTACTAAGTCACGGAGCTGAAATCAACAAGGGAGATTGCAATGGGGATGGGCCCTTAAGCTTAGCGGTTCGTGGGGGTCATCTCAATGTCACCAAAATTCTAGTCAGTGAAGGGGCTGATGTTAATCAGGCCAACGGAAGTGGACAGTGTCCACTACACCTAGCTGCTCAAAGTGGGAACTTGGAGATGGTCCAGTTTCTACTGGACTCAGGAGCCTTGCCCAGTATTAAGGACGGTAGTCTTCGCTTGCCAGTAGATTGCGCAGTCACGGAGGATGTTCAGATGTATCTGAGGGATGTCATGGAGAGAATGGAGAAATCAAAAGTGGAGAAAAAAGATAAGAAGAAAAGGCACCGAAGGCACAAAAGGCACAAAGATAAGGAAAAGGAGCAAGGGAAAAGAGATCTGCCTATCAACAAACACACATGAAGTTACAGATTACACACTGTGTTAGAAAAATGATTTACGATTTTTCTTTTTTTTTAAAGATCATACTTACACCAGAGGGAATAAAAAATGTGTTTCACCAGGATCAGGGTTGAACATTAAGATCTGAATGCTCTGTTACCAAAATGTTTTGTAGCGATAAAAAAGAAGTTTTAAAAAATAAATAATTGGAAGATAGAAGATCTGAGGTTGTTGCAGCTACTCATTTTGGCAGCGTAACCAATTTTGTTGAATTTTGTGAGTGATTACAGCTTGAGATAGTGGACTTCGACATCTAGACAAGTAAAATAATTATTTTCCACTTTTTAATATTTTTATAAGATTCAAAGTTTCAATTTCATAACGGATGTTTATTTGTGTAAGTTTGCTCATCATCACTGCTGCCATTGAAATGTTATAAAATCAAAATTTATAGTACTTGCCTTTTTATTAGTTTTTGGTTTGTTGTTTCTAAATGCATTGCTGATATTATATCATATTTAATAATAAATTGTTTGTTCATTTGTCAAAAAGTGATCGGTTATTCCAATTCCATCTGATTCATCCAGTTTTCATGATTGCATCTTTTTTTTTTCATTTTTAAAAACAAGTATTTCATCTAGCCATATGAGATAATTTCCCAGCATTTTTTTGCTTTTCATTTACTGTATTTTGTAGGTTTATTGCGAATAAGAAACTTGGCTGTTTTTTGCCGGGGCTAGTTAGAAAGTAAGGATATATAGAACTTCACTTCTCTGAAAAAGAATGTGGTATTCAAAAATAACAGTGAATCAGTCTCAGAGTCAATGTTTATGTCATATATCAATCATAACTTTATGATTCACAGTTTTTAACTTGAAATTTTTGTCATATTCCAGAGGCTTAAAATAGATGTTAGTGTGTAAAATCATATAGTGTTCTACAAGTCATTTTCTACCATTTACCATGATTTCGGTTTTGTACGTTTCATATTAATCACTTTTCATGTACTGGATATAACTTTGAAGTACTTTCATATTTACTTATTGAAAAAAAATCCAACAAGTTTTTGTCAAGTGGCTTAATTTTTTTGTAATCTTCTGTTAAATATTTTTGCCACCACCCATAGCTGCATTGAAATTTGTCTGGGAGAGCTGTTAAAGCAGTAGTGCAGTGCCAATATCATATACAAATCATATATTCTCGCAACCCCTTAATATGTTACTATGCATTTAACATTTCAAGCATGTGCTTTTTGAAATATAATATTTATTCAACGATGTTAAGTTTATTTGAACAACATATACCTTTAGTGGTAAATTTCTTAAATAGAACTATTTATAAGGATGATTAAGTTTGAATTTAAGATAAGAAATAAAGCTTACCGCTGTAAAATAAATGCGTCTTGAAGTCCCTTTATTATTGAACATTTTGTCATTTGAAACAGGTGTAAGTGTTGTTATTTTAACTCGTACGGTCTATTAAGTCTGTTATATCTGTTCAAAGGCTACTAAATGTTCACCATTTATGTACATAGTAAACATAAATGCCCCTTGTTTACTTTTTTCACAGCTGAAGTATTTTAATTGTATCTTGAAGCAGGTGGAGACGTTTTGAAATTTTTAAGTTTACTAAAATTAATATAATTTTCAAATATAAATGAAAAATTAAGCAAAACAATTCAATTATACATATTAAAAGTACACAGATTTAAGTTTCCTTTTGCACTGTTGGTCATTTAACCATGCAGTTAAACAGAGGCGGATCCAGGATTATTTGGGGGGGGGGGAGGGGGAGTGTTCAGAACAATAAGCCTCAGATGCAAAGTCAGCCATCACCCCCTTGGAGTGGGGTTGGGGGGCTGCTCAAGGCCCCCCAAATTTTTTTGTTTTGGAGAACAAACAGTGCCCTTTGGTATGGTTTAGAACTATGATTCAGCTAGTCAAAATTCTAATTTCAACAGGAAAATATTGATGTGATATCTTTTTCAGAAACCAGTCTTACATGTCACAATCTAGCCCCTGATGCCCAGGGTGACGGATAAAAAAGCCAGGTTTAATGATAAAGCAAGTTTGCATTATAGTGAAAGTGTCCAACAATTTTTGTCTGGTTGTTTTTCTTTTCTAAAATTTCTGTCAAATTACAGCCCTTCTGTGCATGATATTAGGAATTCAGTACGATTTGCATGTCACTTAAAATTTGTTTTGCTCTCTGTGACAACATCTCTAGCAGTGTTTCACCATTATGGCAGGAAAGTTTTCACCACGGGGATTTTTACACATTTTCTAGTCTTGTACAGTGTCACTCAGTGCCAACAAACTAGTTTTAGACCATCTTGGATTATTTTCACCACAACCTACACTTGTACTCTGTAAATGTAAGAGGACCATCTTGTGTGAGGGACAACCAACTCCCCCCCCCCAAAGAAAAAAACAGCCCCCTCACTTAAGATCACTGGAAAGTCACCTTGAAAAATGGCAAAATCCCCCTGCCCCATAGTAATGGGATGATTCTTGATACACTTTAAAACCCAAGGGGTAAAATATGGGACTTTTAGAAAATCAGTTATTAGAGAAAAATCCAATAACTTTTACATTCATTTTTCCTACAGTTATTTGCAGAGAGTTTTCAAGGATCATAGTTTTCGAATTATTTTCAGGGATGCTAGTGGGGTCCGGAAAGAAAACCTGAACTTTTTCTTGGCNGCCAGTTTCTAAATTTGGCAGAGATATAGTGCATATAAATATCCTATTTGTATGAATTCTGGGTATGAATATTTTTGTATGTGTGTCTTGATCTAAAATTCAGTTTCTATATTGCATGCATTTTTGAGTTGATTGTAGAACATGGACTTAAAGAACTCTTAATCAATATTATAATTATTATTGTTATTATTATTATTATTATAATCTTAAAATTTTAAAATTTTTATTGTTATTATTGTGTTTATCTTACACTTTTTTATTTTCAATATTAGATCTTAAGTAGCGGAGCAGATGTGAACCTCCCTCTGGAGCAAATCCCAAAGTCGAGCACGTTCTTCAACGCCAAGGCTGCCGCCTGGTGTAATCTTGGCACCACTCCCCTGCACGTAGCTGGATTTAACGGCCATTCCCACATCGTCCAACTCTTGCTCAACAACAGTGCCAAAGTAAACCAGTCAGACGCTGAAGAACGAATTCCACTGCACCTAGCTGCATATAATGGAGACGCAGACACTTCAAGCCTATTGGTCAAAAGCGGAAGCGAGGTTAATACAAAAGATAAGGCGAAACGACTTCCACTCCATTACTCTGCATACAAGGGCAACAGAGATGTCACAAAGGCGTTACTGGAGTCCGGGTCCAATGTCAACCTGAAAGACCAAGATGGCTGCTCATCCCTCGTCATGGCAACCAAAGGTCAGCATCCTGAGGTGATGGAGGTCCTGATGCAACATGGCGCAGCTATTACAATGGCGGATTATGTTGGTTGGACTTCCTTGCACTGGGCTGCATTCTATGGTGAGTTTAGGCATATGTTTAGCTTGCATTTATATTATATTATATTATATTATATTATATTATATTATATTATATTATATTATATTATATTGGTAATCAATAAGATTGGTCATGGCTCATTTAGTGATATTTTAGTGATAGTAGTCACTTTCTTTGAAACAAAAATAACAGTGAAACAGCTTCATGTATGTTTCCCTCTTGTCACAAGAGCATCATCAGGCCAAATGCCTACAGGTTGTTATGATGAGCAAACTAATGTTACTGTAAATGTGTTTTCTACCTATGAGGCATGAGGCTTTGACCCCTCCCAAAGGAACTTGGGTACTCGGTACTCTTATGCTCTAAATACACACATTTTTATGTATAACTTGTGTTAACTTTTCTTATTTCACAGGCAACATTAGTGCAATGAAACTCCTCACAGCTCATAAGGTAACCTTGAACAACCGAGACCACGACGGGCGATCACCACTAATTTTAGCAGCAAGAAATCACCACCAGGAGGCAGTAGAGGTGCTGGTTAGTGCTGGGGCGGATATCCAGTGTCGCGATCACCACGGTAACACTGCCTTAATGATGGCCAGTCAACAGAAGAGTTTGGAAATGGCGCAGTGCTTGGTCGCAGCAGGTGCCAATATGGCCATCTGCAACAACCAGGGAGATAATTGCCTTCATTTGGCAATTCAGGGAGCCAACGAGGCGATGGTCCAGTTGTTTCTAAGTCAAAACCCCGATATTGTCAATATCTGCGATGGCAAGGGACAGAGTCCTCTACATTTGGTGGCAGCAGAGGGATTAGAAAACCTACTGGTTTTGCTACTAAGTCACGGAGCTGTAATCAACAAGGGAGATTGCAATGGGGATGGTCCCTTAAGCTTAGCGGTTCGTGGGGGTCATCTCAACGTCACCAAAATTCTAGTCAGTGAAGGGGCTGATGTTAATCAGGCTAACGGAAGTGGACAATGTCCACTACACCTAGCTGCTCAAAGCGGGAACTTAGAGATGGTCCAGTTTTTGCTGGACTTGGGAGCCTTGCCCAGTGTGAAGGACGGTAATCTTCGCTTGCCAGTAGATTGTGCAGTCACTGAAGATGTTCAGATATTTCTAAGGGAAGTCATGGAAAGGATGGAGAAATTAAAAGTGGAGAAAAAAGATAAGAAGAAAAAGCATCGAAGGCATAAAAGACACAAAGATAAGGAAAAGGAGCAAGGGAAAAGAGATCTGCCTATCAACAAACACACATAAAGTTATAGACTGCACCCTGTGTTAGAGAAATGATTTACGATTTACTTTTTTTTTTAAGGATCATACTTACACCAGAGAGAATAAAAAATGTGTTTCACCAAAATCAGGGTTGAACATTAAGATCTGAATGCTCAATTAGCAAACAATGTTTTGTAGCAAAAAAAGATAAGTGTAAAAGAATAAATAAATTGAAGATAGAAGATCTGAGGTTGTTGCAGCTACTCATTTTGGCAGCGTAACTAATTTTGTTGAATTTTACAGCTTGAGATAGTGGACTTTGACATCTAGACGAGTAAAATAATTATTTTCCACATTTTAATATTTTTATAAGATTCAAAGTTTAAATTTCATGACGGATGTTTATTTGTGTAAGTTGGCTCATCATCACTGCTGCCATTGAAATGTTATAAAATCAAAATTTATAGTACTTGCCTTTTTATTAGTTTTTGGTTTGTTGTTTCTAAATGCATTGTTGATATATCATATTTAATTATAAATTGTTTTTGTTCGTTTGTCACAAAGTGATCGGTTATTCCAATTCATCTGATTCATCCAGTTTTCATGTTTGCATCTTTTTTTTTTTTTTTTTCATTTTTAAAAACAAGTATTTTATCTAGCCATATTAGATAATTTCCCAGAATCTTTTTTGCTTTTCTTTTACTGTATTTTGTAGGTTTATTGTGTAAAGGAAACTGGGTTGTATTATGCCCCGGCTAGTTAGAAAGTAAGGATATATATATAGAACTTCACTTCTCTGAAAAAGAATGTAGTATTCTAAAATAACAGTGAATAAGTCCTAGAGTCCATGTTAATGTCATATATCAATCATAACTATTTAATGCACAGTTTTTAAATTGAAAAGTTCGTCATATTCCAGAGACTTTAAGTAGATGTTAGTGTATAAAATTATTGTGTTTTACAGATCATTTTCAGTCATGTGCGATGGTTTCAGTTTCAAATTAATCATTAATCATCATGTATTGAATATTATGTTGCAGTACTTTAATATTTACTTTTATTGAAAAAAAAAAATGCAACAAGTTTTTGTTAAGTGGCTTAATTTTGGTTTAGTTTTCTGTTAAATATTTTTGCCACAACCCATAGCTGCATTGAAATTTGTCTGGGAGAGCTGTTAAAGCAGTAGTGCAGCACCAATATCATATACAAATCATATATTCTCTCAACCCCTTAATATGTTACTATGCATTTAACATTTCAAGCATGTGCTTTTTGAAATATAATATTTATTCAACGATGTTAAGTTTATTTGAACAACATATACCTTTAGTGGTAAATTTCTTAAATAGAACTATTTATAAGGATGATTAAGTTTGAATTTAAGATAAGAAATAAAGCTTACTGCTGTAAAATAAATGCGTCTTAAAGCCCCTTTATCATTGAAGATTTTGCCATTTGAAACAGGTGTAAGTGTTGTTATTTTAACTCGTACGCTCTATTAAGTCTGTTATATCTGTTCAAAGGCTACTAAATGTTCACCGTGTATGGACATAGTAAACATAAATGCCCCTTGTTTACCTTTTTCACAGCTGAAATACAGGTGGAAACATTTTGAAATTTTTAAGTTTACTAAAATTAATATAATTTTTAAATATAAATAAAAAAAAATAATTAAATGAAAAAATTAATAAAAGTACACAGATTAAGTTTCCTTTTGCACTGTTGGTCATTTAACCATGCAGTTAAACGGGCAGATCCAGGATTATTTGAGGGAGGAGGGGGGGGGGGTTGGAACAACAGGCCTCAGATGCAAAGTCGGCCATTGCCCCCTTGGCGTGGGGTTCGGGGCCTACTCAAGGCCCCCCCAATTTTTTTGTTTTGGAGAACAAACAGTGCCCTTTGGTATGGTTTAGAACTATGATTCAGCTAGTCAAAATTCTAATTTCAGCAGGAAAATATTGATGTGAAATATTTTTCAGAAACCAAAGGGGGGGGTCCTCCCCCCCCATCTAAATTTGCCACTGGTTAAACAATATTCTTATTGCTCGTTTTGGAACTCAAAACTGCTGCTTTAAGAGAGGCCTTAGAAAAAGAAAAAGAATCTATCACTTGAATTTAGGCTGAGGCCACTATTGTCTGAATTTGGGCATGTGGAGATTAAGGGACCATTCCCACAGACATTTGGATCGATCTGTCTCCCTGGGGAGTCTCACTAAATTGTTATCAAACTAACCAGCTTAAACATCTGTCACTCCTTGTAAAACTGTTAAGGGATAATTATCCTTACCCCTAGCTGATTCGGTATGCGTGACAAACACATAAGCCTCTTGAGCTGATAGCAATTTAGCGTGAAACCCCAGGGAGTAAGGTCAATCCAGTTGGATCGATCTAAGTATGGGAACCCAGTCTTACATGTCACAATCTAGCCCCTGATGCCCAGGGTGACAGATAAAAAAACCAGGTTTAATGATAAAGCAAGGGAATGCAAGTTTCCATTATAGTGAAAGTGTCCAACAATTTTTGTCTGGTTGTTTTTCTTTTCTAAAATTTCTGTCAAATTACAGCCCTTCTGTGCATGATATTAGGAATTCAGTATGATTTGCATGTCACTTAAAATTTGTATTGCTCTCTGTGACAACATCTCTAGCAGTGTTTCACCATTATGGCAGGAAAGTTTTCACCACAGGGATTTTTATACATTTTCTAGTCTTGTACAGTGTCAGTCAGTGCCAACAGACTAGTTTTAGACCATCTTGGATTATTTCAACCACACCCTACACTTGTAGACTCTGTAAATGTAAGAAGACTGATCTTGTGTGGGTGACAACCAACTCCCCCCCCCTCATTTAAGATTGCTGGAAAGTCACCTTGAAAGATGGAAAAAAAAAATCACCCTGCCCCACAGTAATGGGAAGATTCTTGATACCCTTAGAACTCAAGGTGGAAAATATGGGACTTTTAGAGAATCAGTTAGAGAAAAATCCAATAACTTTTACATTCGTTTTTCCTACGGTTATTTGCAGATAGTTTTCAAGGATCATAGTTTTCAAATTATTTTCTTTTATTAATGAATTAAGTATATTCACAATAAATTTATTATAAATAAAGACACATTTCAATATTGTAGAAGTTTTATTGATACAAATCTAGAGTTGTCAAAATTGTTTTTCTTTTCACTGTAAAATAAAAAAAGCTACGTTTACAAAAGATGAACAAAAGATAGAAACTAGCCCTTTATATTAAAACATCACGTGGAACAGCTTTTTACAGTGGTGATACAAATTGAACTTCACTTGAATCTATAACAGTAGGGTTAATTAAAAATGTTCGACAAAATATGATACCGGTTTTTAAAATTATAAAAGTTTGCCGAATAAAAAATAGACATAAAGCGGTTTATTTACAATTAGCTACAATAATATTTATATCCATTTTGGACAATTTTGACCAACCACAAACACCATATCATCTAAATATGGGCTACAAAATCCTCTGCAAATTTTAACCAATGAGAAGTCTTGTTCAATAAACAGTTGCAGAGCTCACATATTTAAGTTTTGCTAAATGATGAAGACAATTAACTCACTTTGGATACAGAAAATTGAAATAATTCCAGAAAATAAATTGTCAATATACTCACTTTGGCTAAAGAAAAATATTTTATAGGGTGTGCAAATTCCTCTTCATGCAATGATAACTGGCCAAAAGGTAATTTCGTATAATGACGGGCCTCTACAGCATAGCTATCTGCCAAAGTCGAGTATCAATATTAGCCAATCATATGTCCTCTCCCATAAACAGTCAAGGTTTTAATCAAAATCTCTCTCCAATTCAGCTGAACGGTTTACCAACAGTTAGCCGACAACAATAAATAGGTTGAAAATAGAAATAACTTTCATTTCTGTGCTTTCTGAAACCCCATCTAAAGAGAAAGCTCTCATTGCCGGCTGGTACAATATTTATACTTGTAATGAACTGGTCAGATCACCAATATGAAGAATATGGGTAGATCTGAATAGAAGTCATTTCAGCCATTTTTCTCTACATAGGACAAAGAAAACTCTTCTTTTTCAAACTTGGTTAATTCTTGCCCTGATGTTAAGGCATTAATCGGGAACAAATGCTCCCCCCCCCCCCCCAACAACTGCAATGAAATAAAGGTCTGTATTCCCACAAGTTGTAAATCAATCAAGTTCCTTTCATACACATCCTGAATTGATAGCATGGAATAAAATCTAACGGCAGACCTCCCCATTAAAAAACTGCAGTGAATTGAGGTCCTTTGCTTATGTGAATCGACGTGTAAGGCTCAGACTGGGCCACTTGCACAGCGTTCTGCTTCTTTAGCACCAAGAGGGCATAAAACTTCGACGCAGCCTGTTTGCGATTATTGCGATTGGTGACATCCTGGAATTTGATACTGTCCGTACGTTTCAGTAAGGTCTGAAGTGAATGGAGCATTTGAAGGGACCGCTTGTTCCATCGAATCTCTTCTTGTTCTGCCGTCTCCTCCTGCAAAAGAAATGCAAATTACATATTTTTTCTCAACTAGAGGTTCACAGGATAAAGACATTGAATACTTGCACATATATCAAACATAAAATTCATTTGGGATATTTTCAATTTTTTTTTTTTTTTGTTTAAAATTAGAACAAAATACGGAATTGTCTGGCTTTACTAATATCTCCAGTACCTTGGTCAAAAGATTTTGCTTGAGAAAGCTTCTGTACATTACATTTTCTAAGTCTGTTTTACTGCTGGGGTATTAAAGGCAATTTATTGTGGTGAGCAAGTTTTTCAGAATATTTTATGTTGTATTGAGAGTGAACAATACCTGATGGCACACAAATGTAAACAAAATATCACCGAGGCAAAAAGATGTTTACTTTTCAAGAAAAACTGAATTTTGAGGGCCTACATAAGAACTGAATTTTTCAGGGCCTATTTTCAAGGTAGTAAAATATTTCTTGGTGATGCCAATTTTTATATAGAATATATAGAATATACATACCACTGGCTGCCCATCTAAATCAACGGGAAGTTCAACATTGTCCTGAAAATCTATCAACCCAACATCGTTGTCCTCCGGTCCTGGTGTGACAGGCGGATGGTCCAATATGGACGACTTCTCCAGGCGATTTTCCTTGTCAGCTGCTTTTTCTTTTCTAGAGCGTTTCTTCTCTGGCTCCACAGTGGTTGATTTTTCTTGTGGTACGATTGTGCTTTCCTGTTCTGGTGGAGGCAAAATCTCCTCCAGTGCTGAAATCAATAATTATTCTTATTCCATAATGTTAATTCAAAGTTTTTCACTTTTGTCATTTTTTCATAATGTACTATGGGAGCAGACTTCAATCACACGAAAATGACATCATTAAAGACTTTCATACCAAGATTTCACAAGGAGACTGAACTAATTGCCTGTTGTCATGTCAACTCAAGTCATATCATCAGCACTGAAGTCTTTTGAGAAGAAATGAATCTTTCATTCCCCATCTGATCACTACAAAGCATACTTTTGATACTGTTATAAGGTCAGTACTGCGCCACCTACCCATGGTTGGCTGTTCCTCCTCTCTGGCCACCTCCGGCTCCTCAGACAGCTCAATCTTCTCCCCAGCCTCCTGGTCTTCTTCTGTGACTGGCTGTGTGACCAGGTTCTTGTTAAACAGCTGCAATATAATGTGAAATGTAGACTAGATTACGAGGTACGATTAAGAAGTTCTCAGCTTTAACATGTCCTTAAAAAATTAGAATATTTTGGAATAAAAGAAGCAACTGTTACAAATTTTGGCGCCCGAACAGGGACTGGGACTCGACGGTCCAGGGACTCGAGACTGACCACATCACTCATGGGGTCACCAAGACATCATACCAGGCCTAGGAATAGCGTTTGACACAGTCTATCCTGCTCAAATTATTCTGGAGGACTTCTAGAAAGCTAAAACACTGTCCTTATATTGTTGCAAGTGGCAGAAGTTCCGGGATGAGAACAATTGAGATTTGACACATCAACAAATATGCAGTCACTGAAATTCCACTATATCGTACAAAGACAGTCAGTAAAAACAACTGGACCGTTGTGGGCGTTGTCATACAGAAGCGTTGGACGCTTGATTTGGCGCAGTTTATGTTGTGAGAGTTATACACATTCAACTGATAAACTCCACTTGCCGTGTCATAACTCACACTCTGCTTATGATTCTGGCGTTGGCTGGCTGGAATACTGTGTCAGAACAACTTTGACATCTTTTCTTGTACACAATGATAACCAGGTCATTATTAACTCTGGCAATGACAATGTATATAAACTTGGAATTTTTACTGATGCTAGACAGACATCGATTCACTACAGTGGCAGACAATCCAAATTAGTCGATAATTTCATCTTATTGAAGGTCATTGGTTGAGAGAATAGGATTCCAACGCTTATTACTACACCTGGAAGTCTCTGTAAAGACGAGAAGGATGCGTAAAACTGACAAAATGGAAAAAGTCCCAAGTTGCCATGGTTGCTGTGACTTAATGCAGCTTGGGAGTTCTTCCTCATCTCCAATATTCTCCTGATTTATCCTTTACTGACTTTTATCTGTTCCCAAAACTGAAAACTAACCTTTGTGGAAGAAAATTGGGAAGCAATAAAGGTGTCATAGATGCAATAAACTAGTACTTGGGGGACCAGGATGTAGACTTCAATTTTGAAGGGATACGTAAATTAGAACAGCGATGGATTAAGTGCTTCAAGATGAAGCGAGATTATATTGAGAAGTAACAGCCAACTTTTCATTCCTAGGTATTCCAAAGTACAAGAAGCCGAAAACAGATTTTGCAGATATTCCTAATACCAACAACTGACAGACACCTTCACCATTTAATCACCTTAGATATCACCCTACTGGGTAGTGCTCTCCCTGGCAAGGCAAACAACTTCTCCACCCCTCCCGTCTCCTTCCAGTGCATCAGCTTCTTGGTGGGCGGGGCAAGGTCGAGGGTGGTCAGGATGTCGGACGCGTCTGACAGCTGTAACTTCATGGTCTCACTCTGTATACACTTCTGTTCGTCTACGATCAGTTTTCTTTTCCTCTTTGTCCTCTTCTCTGTGCCTAGTAAGGTGAGTTTAGATTTTTTTTTTAAGGGAGGGCTTTTCATCCAAAATTATATTTAATTATTTATTTACTTATCTATTACTACTTGCAATTTATATCATAATACTTCAGATGCATTCAAGTTAGCATTTCATATGTTATTTCATTTGTTATTATATAATATTATTATTATTACATAATTCATTTATATATTATATATATATAAGTAGTTCATTATCTTATTTGTGCATACATTTTTATTAAAGCTAATGAAACTGCAAATCATTTAATTTCGATCATTTTAAAATTTCTTTTGCCGTTTCTTTTCTTTCTTTTTTTCTCAACACCGCTTAACTTCCTAAAACATCCCATTCACTTACCATGGACACTAGTGACATCTAGTGGTTCCAGAGCAAACGCCTCTTCCTCATTCTGGACTAGTGTGGTCTGGTTGGGCATGGTGGACACACCAGCCCCTGTGGTCTCTGGACCATCATCATGGACCACAGCTTGGATCTTCTCAACTGAAATTTGAGAAAAATTGAAGTTTAACACTGATATCTTGAAAAAGATTATTTATACACAAATGTCCTGCATTTTGCTTTACACTGTAATTTGGCTAATATTTTTTATACAAAATACAGGGTACCCTTTCCTCTGGGCATGCTGTTTATAACTAACTTTTTTATGCCCCACATATCAAATATTTCCTGTTGATCAATTTATTATTCTTTCTAATAAAATACATCATATTTCTTTACTTGATTCAGAAAGTTTTTGTTGACATTTTCTGATTGGAAATATTCATTTTGCCCATGTGACCAGACTTATAAGACACCCTGTACGGAATGGATTTGTTTTAATTACCTTGTTTAGCATGAGCATCCATGGGGGCAACTTCAGAGACCATAGAGACTTCAGCCATTGGAGCATCCTCAAACAGAGGTCCTCCCTCCATGAAACCTTCACCTGGGAAACAATAAAACAGTGACACTGTTAATACCCCCTTTACACTGGACGGCGTCCTTTCTGCGACCATGAAATTGGCGTCGCTGTGGTCGTAATTAGGAGGCACGAGCATTGATTTGGTATCAGAATGAATGCTCAAAGATCGGCCAGTTGTCGGCAAGTAAAGTATTATAATTTTTTAACTCTCAAATGGGGCCGTACTGCTGGACGCAGAAAGGACGCCGTCCAGTGTAAAGGGGGCTTAACACAGCATACATAAAAATCTTTCACAGACGAGTGCACACAAATCTGTCCCAGACAAGGAGTAAATGTCATATTGACGAGTAGTTATCAAAAGAAAAAAATTTTTTTTTTCTAATTTACAAGGTCATTTCAGTTATTTTTTCATGGGCAAGCTTGGATTGTTTTCTTTTATCAACTCATGAGAGAAGCTGTATTTTTCAAGTTGTAACTTCCAGTCTCTCAGCCAATCCTTGTAGAGCAACATTACATACAGCTTGACACAAAGACAGCTGAAGTGCCAACTTTCAAAAGCACAACTCCTCTCATCAATTACCTGAAATTTTTCTTCTTAAACCCTTTCACACTGGACGGCGTCCTTTCTGCGACCATGAAACTGGCATCGCTGTGGTCGTAGAAAGGAAGCACAAGCATCGCTTTGGTTGCAGAATGAACGCTTAATGATTGGCCAGTTGTTGGCACGTGAAACATTTTTTTTTTTACTCTCAAACGTCACTGTACTATGGGACGCAGAAAGGACCCCGTCCAGTGTAAAGGGGGCTTTAGCAAACAATGAACAGAGAACCGAGTTAGTAAACTTACCAAACAAAGCATGGTCAACGTCCCCACCAAAATTATCATCATCGTCGTCGTCATCGTCTCCACCCATTGGACCGCCATCGTCATCATCATCGTCACTGACAGGTGCCCGCGCTTTGGTTAATAAAATGAACAATTAACAGCGAACCTATGGTGCTATATTTTGGAACAGGATAATTACTAGGTATTAAGGTGCACAGGGTTTTTTAAAGCTTTGTCCACTAATAACAGAGTGATCTAATCTACTTCATCAGTTTTAAAGATAGGTGAGTTTTAAAGCTTATTAAACATCTTCTCTAAAATCATAAGCCACATCACATCTCTTAATTAATTAGCCAGGAAGACAAAAATGACAGCACAGAGAACACAATCTAAAAGCATCTTCATCTAATTCTACTACCAGAAAAAAAATATATATACCGGAAAAGCAAGGGGATTTTTTTTTCAAATCTCTTTTTTTTTAGTCAAACACAAGTTCATGTTGGTCATTGCAAGCCAAAACTTTGAACAGATGTGTTTATGAAATTGGGACCAAGGCAACATACACACAATATCCAGAAATTAGCACCACAGATTCTAGTGTTAGTAACACATGCAAAACACAATTATATTGTATTAGTAAAAACAGATTAGAATTTATAACGAGTTTAACAGTTTTTTTTTTTTTTTTGCAAAACCTTACATCTACATGAAAACAGGTAAAAAGTCAGGCTACAGAAATCCTTAATAGTTTATTGGTAAGGAATATGATCTAAATCACACTTGGTGTCAAATTATGTATGGTTACGCAAGAGATCAACATCAAAAGCCACTAGAAGATTGGAACCTAACCCTATAAAAGAACTTTTTATGTAACATAGATGGGAGTGCTACAGCTAAATTAGGATGCATATTAAAACCAAGCAAATATTATAAACAAAAAGATAGTGGACAACATTCACAGGAACCATTGTTGACATACGATACTAGTAATTTTGCAACTGGGCAATTTATTATAAATTTAAAAGAACTGCTGCATGCAAAACCGCATACTACTGAAATCTTCATTTAATGAAATCTACACTTTAAACAAAAATAACTTTTTTAAAAACTTCGGCAAAGTCAAAGGAACAAAAGTTGTTATTATTAATTATAGACCAGTATCACTATTATTTTTACCATACCTAGCATGCCTCCACCTATAGCACCACCAAAACCATCATCTTTAATGGGAGCATCGAGGTCCACGTCCATGGGTTTGGGCAGCGAGGTCTCCGCGTCCTTGCTCTTGTCTCGGACGCTGTCCAGTAGAATGTTGGAGGAGTCTGGGTTCTTGTACAGGGAATCCTCCACCCCCAGGGTAGCGTCCCGTAACATCTCCCTATCATCAAATCCAATATCACCTGAAACAATACAATTTAATATAAAATAATATCACAAACAAACTTCAGTGTAGTCACAAAATGAAGACAAATGCAATGTCTCAATTCTAAAATTCTTTTTTTTTTTTTTAACCAAAATTAAGTGTGCAGAACCCTAATTAATGAAGGCTATAAATCTACTTGCAATTACAAATCAGAGGAAATAAATAAGAATGCAAGAAGCGCTGTTACAACATTGTGTATTTGCCAATAAACTTCTATCAGGAGCAAAATCTGTCATACTTTGTCGGAAGCATTCACAAATTTAAGGAAATGAAATGTGCTCAGTCTTCTAACTAATGTTCTTACTCAACCAATCATAGTTAAAAGCAATCACATTTTCAGTCACGAAAAAATTAAAATAGTACACATTAAATGACCAAGGAGGTGGATAACAAAATTAAAAGCAACAATGACAGACATACATCCAAATTAACTGAAGACAACAAAATGAAATACCTGGACAGAGAAAACGATGAGACACAAGATATAAATCAAGTTAGGCTACTTCACCAGAGGATGCAGGGCATAATACCATAACCAGTTAACTGTGTTATACTCAATGCCCTAATCCAAATTTTAAGTTTTAATAATACGGACTGCATTTGATTAATCTACATGCTGAAAAATTGATTAATTTATAAGCCGATTACTTGCAGAATATCTATAAGCAAAACAAAAAGATAGGCCGTTTTTTCCCCTGTTTTTCTAAATGAAAAAGCATGTGCAATTTGATGCTTTTTTTTTTTTTTTTGGACCTATAATAAGGCAAAACAGAAATGGGTTGACAAGCAAGAGCTCATAAATAATGCATGCGTGATATCTTATGGCCAAATTTATTTTGCATCCTCTAGAAGCCAAATCACGTGCATATTAATCTTTCAGAGAATAGTTGAGAGCTAGCGAAAAGATCACCATGCACACAGTGACAGGGAGTAAGCAAAAACGAGATGGGTGTGCATGCACAAGTACAGGACAGCATGCGACATCTTGGAGCCAGAAGCCACATGACTATAGTATAAATGCGTGTCGTAAACTTTGGTCTCTTGTGTTTGCTGTTATACAGCTAGGCTATAAGGTAATGGAACTTAATGGAAAAAAAAAGTTTTCTATTTCTCTGGGTGGTCTGAGCGGCGAGTAACAAGCCATCTGTTAAGGGGTCAGGGGTCATCGCCATGGTAACCCCAAGGTGATCAACAGCATTTTTCAAGGTGGACAGTCCATTTTACTAGGCCCACTTTTCTGGTCACTCAGATGTTAATTACTAAGGTCATCTATTTCAAACTACCCAATGTTTTCGTGGCTCGTGACTCCAAAACGGAAAGTCGGCCCGAGGCTGAAGTAAGCTGCTCACTAAGTGAACCGGATTGGCCCTCATTATTGCTAGTGACCTTGACCCCATTACAGATGACCTCTTACCCTCTTTTTGCGTGGCCTCGTCCCGCGTTGTGTTGCTTTGGAAGGCCCAGTCGGAGTCGGTGTCAGACACGTCTCCATCGCAGTCACAGACGATCCCAGAGTCTTGTGACTGAAAACTGTCATTTCTATTGCACGTTGACACTTGCAACGAGGCTTCACTGCCATTTTTAGGTAAGTCTTTGCTGCCATTGAGTGAAGATTGTGTTTGCGATTTATTCACTAAAGAAGTACCTTCTGAACTCCTATCATTTACTTTTTGTGATAGTTCCTGAGAAGAGGCATTTTTAACCTGACCATTCTTACTACTATTCATTTTCCTCTTGTTTGGTGTACTAGTTTTAAACGTCCTATGGTTTTTAAAGAAAATTGCACTTGTGTAGTAATGGTCTGTTTCTAAAATAGTTTTAATGTCTAAGATATTGCATTTTTCTTCAGCCAAAAGACTGTCTATGGTATCTAAAATCAAGTTCATGTCTATACGCTTGTCCCGCGTAAAGAAAGTACAAATGAGACAGTGAACGACCTCCTCATCAACTGAGCCTCCCAAATCGTCATCAGAGTCATCTAAATAAAAACATGGAATCTGCATTACGCATTAGCATCACCATGGACAAGATCTTCTCACAAAATGTTTGCTCCTATCTACACTCATTGAAGTATGTTTATTTTTGGTTGAAAAAAAAAAATAATAATACTGGCAAGGAATTTGATTTTATCCTGTGAATCCGCCCCCTCCTCCAATCTCTGTCTCACTCTGTTTTTTTTTTTTCTCAAAAATCACTAAATCAATCAATAGCATAAAAAAATACATCCTGGTTCAAAGTCCAATACTAGGTTTTGAGATTAAAGTAGCTTTCCTTTCAACCCACCTGGCCTGTTGTCAAGAAGGCAACCATTCCAACTTCCTGAATCCTTACACAGGTGAAATCATTCTTTGAAGAAATAACTCTTCAACCTATCAACACCTGAAGACAAAATTCATGACTGTGTTAATTCTCTTACCAAAGCCATCGTCTCCAACCAGGGTGATGTTCCCGAAGTCTTCTCTCATCGTGATCTCCTCTGGTCTGCTCTGGTTCACTGAGAACTGGGCGTTCACATCGATATCGCTGAAAAACAGAATGAACATGTCAGGTAAACAAAACAAAAGCAGTACTGCTGCAAGTCTTCTCATTTCAAAACATCAACAAGTAGTGTTCCAAAAACACCATGCCCAGACCGAGTCGCCAGTTTCGAAGTAACTCAAGAAAATTCTAATATTTATCAATTTTTAAAATTTTTAAAAATAAAGATTAACATTAATTAAATAAATTTATGTCTTTTTTTTTTAATCAGAATTTTGTTTTGGCTAAAATATCAAGAGGAAAAATTTGACCAAAACAAAGCATCTGCCAAATAAACCAAGGACAGCATGCGTATAACACGTACTTTAGATCCGCCATTGTTGTGTCAAAATCATGGAACGTTTCTGGTAAGGTGATGGCGGCCACTGCTGCTTCTCGGTTCTCCTCAGGGAGATCTACTACTCCTGGTCTAAAGGCCATCTTAATCTTTACAAAGGCCTCGTTACAGTCAGCAAGAAGATATTTTGCTTTCCGGGAGTAGATACGGACAACTCCAAGTAGTAAATGCCCAGATGTCCTTAGGGCCATTTTTACCTAAAACAAAGCGATGAAAATATATAAATATACATATAAGCATTTTGCTACATTTGACAGACATGCCATCAATAACAGTGTATAAACATAACATTTTTTAATTAGTGAAATATAAATATTGACAGAGATTTCACTTCAAAAACAAGTCTTTATCAAGAGATTTTGATTGTGAAATCAAAGGACTAACATAACCATATATAAGTATAAAAATGTGCAAATTAATGAAATCTTGCACTTGCAATAAACAAATTCATCCCACAGAAAAAAAAACTCCAGCTTGCTGATGAGTCCATTGTCAATAGTGTAATATTAAATTCCAAATAAATTCTCATACACATTTCACTTACCTTTGGTTCCAATATGGCCTCCACACTGGAACTGATATTTGTTTCAAACACATGGGCCTTGGTCAGTTTCTTATCCCAATGGGCCGCCAGCCAGATACGGGCCAGCGGGCCCTTTTTACTTAATACAAAGTGTGCGTAAAACATGCTGGCTGGTTTTTACGGCACCTAGAACATAAGATGATGACCTCATAAATGCTGAAATCTGTGATATAAGAAACACAAACTTGTTCCCAGCATACAGTGCCACTTGCATTAATTTATTGTAAGTAATATTCTTGAACAAGTTAAAGTTGGCTTCAGAAAGGGTGTAGTGTTCTGTCGCCAGAAAGGGAGAGAAACGATCCAGCTCAGTTATTTATAACTTGTAACAACATTATATTATCAAAAGCAAATGCAGGGAGATAATTTTGTTCCCGCTCTTGTTGTTGTGTTCATCCTATTGATCATAAATAAAGTAGGTCACATATCGCGTCAGGACGCTACCAACAGTGAAGATGGAAATAAACCACTGAGAGAGTTATGTTAAGCTGTAGCAAACAAATAATCCTTTAGATGACAGTGTTTTCAACAGTCTGAAACCGATACATCTGCAATGCCTTGTTGATTTTATAGTGGGCGACTTTAAACCGGTGGCTACGAATCCGTGCAAAGAAAACAGTGCAGGTGCGAGAAAACCCACGCTATCTTTCTACAAGATGTTTTCCCAACTTAACAGTTTAACTTACCCCTAAAAAGGTTCCCTCGGATGCCTCAACACCTCTACTAGTTCGTTATGTTATTTCATCAAGCAACCATATCTGGAGCTTGGAAATTTAACAACAATCAAAACTGTGTCTTTTCCCGATGCAAACAAGATGGCGTCGCTTTGTGTTCCCGCTCATGAAATGTTTCGAATGAAGCCTTCTCACTCATTGTTTTCTTACACGGAAGTAAAATATTAATAACTAGGAGGCAACAAAACATTGCTTTCCTTATTGAAAGCATATAAGTTATGAAGTTTAACATAAATGAAATCATTATTTGTTGTTTGTCACTATATATTTGAAGGAAACATACTTTATTTGAAGCGCATTAATCTCATATATGCAAATACAACAAAGGTCAAATACTGTAACGTGCTAGGCGATCTTATGCTAATATGAATCTTGCATGTATTCGGAAAGTTTTTCATTTAGAAAACACTTATTTAAATTCATTCTGGAACACGGAACCCATATTACAAATATGATGCAATAAAATCTCCCAATTACTTCTCCAAAGACGGACATACATAAACACCAGAAAAGATCAACCTTTGACCCAAATGAATGGATGACGTGTATTTCCTTATCACGTGATAATATTGTTTTCAAGATGGTCGACGAAATAGCTAAGCAAAGCATTTCTCTGCCAATCAGATTAGCAATGAATTAACCGGTATCTGAAAGGAGTGGGCGAAGCTCGTCCTCATTGTGCAATACCTGTATCATTTACAACGATGGGAGACGAGGCGTGTGCTGCAGAAACAGACGCTGGAGGCGAGGAGGGAGGTGAGTAACGACAGAAGTCTTGCCTGAACGTGCTACTGACGTCTCTAGACTAGAGACCCCCTGAGCAACTAGACGTGTTAGCAGTGACATGTGTTGCAGTGCTTGCTTACAATGAATTAATGCCACTACACCTTGTTGACCTTGGGATCCATTCGTATTAAATTAGGTGAATGGATCCTCTCGGTTAACAGCCCTTGAAGTTAGGTGGATTAATGTGTATTAACAAAATACATTGCGTCATTGTGAATCAGTGTGATTGTGTCATTCACAGTGACAGTAATCTCTGTAAGTGATAGATATTGGACTCGTCATGGCGAGAGAAATATACCAACAGAGGGGTTGCCTTCTCTTGGAGAAAGCCTCAAACTCCATAATATTCCAGTACAGTTTATTAATAGCATACTAGTAGACCCAACACTTGATGCTTTTACATGTAATTCACTTAATAGTAATAACACATTAACATAGTTTAATATGCACAGTGTGATATTTTTCCCACAACAAAATTTATAGTTTAAACAGAATTTTCCCATGCTAACTAACATCAAGACCAACATTTCCTGACACTAGCCTTTCCCACAAAAACAATATATGGAAATCTAAAATTCTTGTATTGACTTCTGGAGAGCTCATAGTGTAAAACTGTGTAGGGAATTTTATTATTTTTTATGATAGTAGTGAGTGGCTGTTTACATATCTGTAAAAATATGATTAAAATATTGCTTGTCCTCGGATAAGTTCAACAGGAAGTGGTTTGTGTAATTAAAGATGCACAGTGCAAAATAAAAAAAAAAAAAAAGAATAATAAAATAAAACCTGTACTGAAACTTAACGAAATTTCCAGGGTAAACATTATTTTTTACTGACTAATTAACCTTTCACACCCTCCCCTTTTTCCACGCTTTCATACCTGTCAATACGGTTTTAAGATTTTCCTGAAAAAAAGAAAGAAAAAAAAAACTTGCACTGGAACTTAACAAAATTTCCAGGCTAAACAATATTTTCTCTGACTAACCAACGTTGAATTCCCCTTTTCCTACAGTTTCCTACATGTGATTAGAGATTAAAGTTTGCTTGTGTGTGATATCTTGCAGGCATTTCATGAGTGTCTCTGTACCAGGCAGTTTGTATGTTTAGGTCTGGTCAGTGTTACAGCTGAGGGACTAAAACTGGGTTCCCATAGATTTAGATCGATCTGTCCGGATCGACCTAACTCCTTGGGGGTTCACTCTAAATTGCTGTCAAGTTCCGAGAGCCGAGCACGCACAAAAGTTAATTACCCCCTAACAGCTTTTAGGAAACACAGACATTTAAGCTGGCCAGGCTGACAACAATCTAGTGAGACGCCCCACAGGGATAGATCAATCTAAAAATCTATGGGAATGCAGTCTAACTAACATGTCTACTAGTATACATGTGCGTGTGGTGAGTTTTTTTTTTTTTTTTTTCAGAAGGTATTTGGGTGTTTTTCCTATTTCTTATCAGAGAATCTGTGAGTGTGTGTGTGTGGTGTTTAGCAGGCATTTGGTGTGCTTGTATAATTGTAGAGAGCTTTATTGTACTGGTATGAGTCTTTTCATTTGTGTACTAGTACTAGTACTATGTGATTCTGATCAGGTATAATTTACCTTATAGTACATTTATAAAGCTGAAATGTTCAATACTTTTGCTAATGAACAGCTTACTAGTACTAGTACTAGTATACTGATAATGTTGTACTAGACTTACTGACAAAAGTAAAACCACCAAATTTTTTTTGTGATATTTTCATGTGAAGTACTAGCACTGTATTTTTTGAATGCGTAGTATCTTTTGAATTTTGTATGTAATTCATTGTCGGCATGTAATTGAGGACAGCCTTGTGTGTGTGTGTGTGTGTGTATGTGTGTGTTTGTGTGTGAATGTGGGTACGTATGAGAGTGTAACAGCACTTAGTGAAACAACATGACTTTTTACTTACTATAAGGCATTACTTAGTCTCACAAAAGTTTATTCCTTACTGATGCCAGTTTTTATGACATTGTTCCAGAGAGGCGGAATTCCCCTGTCAAAATGAAACCACCAAACAAGAAGAAGTTTGAAGCAGAACTGCAGTCAATACTGACAAGCATACAGGAAAAGGAGGCCCAGCTAGTAAGCAATTTGCTTTTATCTTGAAGAATAAGTGAAAAAGAAAATGGATAAAAATGTAATTTAAAATGTCTAATTTACGAGTCACCCACATGTTGGAATTTAAAAATGGTGAATTGTTGATATGATACCTCAAATGATTTTGTTGTTGTTGTTGTTGTTGTAGTGTTCAGCAGCAGTCCACTGCATAACTTGATTGCAATTGGGTCTGTACACAGTCAAAATTGAGATCTTAAACATACTCTGGTTTGTTGGTTTTATTTCAAAGAGATATACCCCAATCATCAGAAAAAATAATGGTACAGCATAACTGCTTGCACATTGTTCTGAAAGTTTTTGGATGAAATATAGCAATCACCATCATTGCTGTTGTGATGATTGACTCCATTTTGTTCTTAATATTTCATTTTAGTCACTGATAAAAAAAAAAAAATTAAGATGAAAGTCTGGTGTAAAACACAACCAGATGAAGAAAATATTTATTTGCATGGGTTAATGTCTATAAGCATATATATATGGGTCTCGTAACAGCATCCATTTTCCTTCAACATGAGACTGAATAATGAATATGAACAAGAAATGACTTTTTACCTACAAAACTTTTTACACTATAATCAATGGAAGTTTGTTGACGTTTCTAAGGGGATATGACGGTTGCTATTCATTAGTGTTTTGATGGAAATCGGCCTTTTTTTTATTATTGAACTTAAGAAATGTAAATTACAGTATACAATATGTCTTTGTTACCCCTCCATTTTTGCCTATTTGACATTTATCGGACAGTAAGGATTGTAGATGTTTAGAATGGATTTTAATTGTACCATTATTTCTGTTAAATATGTGAAATCTAGAAGAATGATTTAAATGTACTAGTGTCAAGTTAAAACAGAAAACACGATGCGTAAGAGGTGTCGAGAGATTTGACGGATTCCCATAAATGCCATAATGCATTTTTAAAATTGTTTGAAAAATAGTATTTTTCTCCAAATCTGTGTAAAATAATCAGGAACATAGATTTTAACACCCCTGATACTGATTACAGCCTTTTAATCTAGACAACGAATTGTGCGACGAAAAATATTCAGTAAAACATGTACTCAAAAATGTCACAATTTGTATTTCCAAAATACCTGCATTTCACAAAAAAAAATAGAAGA